TTGTCTGAATTTTAAACCCAAAACTCATATGTTAATGTCTAATCAGAAAAAGAGATGTTTATAGTTAAAAAAAAAAAAAAAAGCTGATATTTAGGAAAAATGTTTTTCTACTTCTTAGAAACTGGTAAAGCTGTATTCAACAAAAAATGTTTGAACTTCTTTTATAAATCTAGTTAAATGAATATGCAATTTTAATAATAAATGTGATAGTTTTCACTTTCGCAGAACAGTTATAAGGGGGATATTTTTAAAGTAAATAACATTAAATCCCTTGTTTTGTGGTCTGTAGACAATACAAATTCTCCACTTTAGATTCATCTAGTTTAGTAATATTATGGGTTTGGCAATATGGTTTTGGAGAGCCAAATGCTTAATTTAAAAAAAAAAAAAAATTTCTACCAGTTTATGTCACACTGGTAGCTGGATATCAGTTATAGTGAGAGTATTTACAACATGGAAATGACAATACTGTAAATCAGCATTATTTTGGTTTTTTGCCCTCAGAGAGTTGGTTGTTAAACATTTTCTAGCATACCACTGATCTAGTTCCTAAGACCTTATAAGATATTTTGATAAAATATATCTTGACTTTATGAGATACATTTAAAATATATCTTTATTAATTAAAATTTATTGGGCAAAACCGACAATTGAATTAACTTTAAAAAAAGATTTTGAACCAGTAGGTTACTTCCTCTAAAGAAACTGAAGAATATTTCTAGTTTTAAGATAGACATACACATACCGACTATATATACATAATTTCTTCTTAATAAAATCTATTGCAAATAATAATGCTTTCATAAATTTATACCATTATTGCATCCTAGCAAACAATTCCATCAGATGTATTTTAACCTTCCAAATACACATGTAAAATTCTATAATGCATGATTTCTACTGCTCTAACCATGTTTCCCTAGAATTTAAAGATAGCTGGCAATTCCCCCTAATACCAGAATAAAACAATACAGTATATCTTCTCTTTTTGCAAGGTTTGATACAGATTAGTCCTAACCATTCAATAATTTTAATGATTTTTTTTGACATTTCTGAAAATGATAGTGCTCACATTACATATCTCAGACAAAATGCATAAGAGAGAACAATTTTGATTATTTATAAAATAATGTGAAGTGGGAGCGCCAGGAGATAATATATAAGGTACATCTTATTTAGTTATCTCATTTTGTAGAATGAAAAATAGTAAAATCTTCAAACTCAACAAAGATGTAATTTACAAACTCTAACATTTATGGCTAGGTTTTGTTGTTATAGGGATTACAAACAGAAGAATGATTGAAGAAGATGAAAACCACATGAAGAAGTAATTTGTTCCAGTATCGAATGCAACCTATTATGCATACTAAGAATCAAATGAATAGTGGGAACTCTGATTTAAGACAAATTGCTAAGGGTATACAGCATTTAATAAAAATATGATAAACATGATAAAGAATGTTGGAATTTTGGCAGTGTAAGTTCTCAGACTTTAGGGCTCAGTGGAGTGCTTGTTGTTATTAAGTGCCGTGGAGTCAATTCCGACTTATAGCGACCCTGTACAGGGATTCCTATGAGCAACTGGTAGGTTTGAACTGCCAACCTCTGGTTTGCAGTGCTTATCCTACAGTGCCACACCAGGAGTCTAGTTACAAACAAATACAAATTTTTAAAACTCTTTGTAAGAAAGCACCTTGAGAACCAGAAAATAATATTTCATTGTGCTAATAAATATAGAAAACAGGCGAAGTTAAATGAATATGAATTGGTGTCAGTAAAATCAGAATGATTTATACTAAAATGGATGTTAAAATATACCTTGAGTTTATGTTCTTTTCTGTTGATAATGACAGCTGTAATCTGCTGGTCCATGAAAATTAGAATAGTGCAAAGCAAAGCTGGAATAATAGCAGCTATTATTGTCCACCATGGATTTGGACCTAAAGGCTTTACAAACCAGCCACGATCATCTCTTGTGGGCTGTGAAAAACAAAAAGAATGTGCAGAATTCATTATTAGCTGAATTAATGAACATCTAATTAAAATACAAGGATCTATTAAAAACCAATATTCTGAATGAGATTCTTGATATTAATAAATTAGTACTTAATATACTTAATATTAAGTATACAACACTTAACAATATTCACAAAGCATTTATAAAGTACCAGGTACCATTCTAAGTCATTTAAACATTTTAGCTCATCTAATCTTTAAAATGGAGTCCTGGTGTGGCGCTGTGGGTTAATAATGCACTAGACTGCAAAGTCAGTATGAACCCTACAAGGTTGGCGGTTCAAACTCACCTAGTCACTCCTTGGACACCTTGTATAGACAGGTTGCTATGGGTCAGATGACGGTACTTAACAACAATCTTTTAAACAAGGAACTCTGGTAGCATAGTGGTTACAAGTTGGGCTGCTGATCTCATGGTCAGCAGTTCGAAACTACTAGCAGTTCCACAGGAAAAAAATGAGGCTTTCTGCTCCCAAAGTTTTACAGCCTTGGAAACCCTATACAGGGTCACTATGAGTCAGAACTGACACCACAGCACATAACCATCACCACCACCAATCTTTAAAACACCCTAAAAGAGGTGATATAGAGGAGGTAACTGAAGCAAGAAATGGGTAATTAATTGGCCCAAGGTCATATACTTAGTTAGTAACATAATCAGAATTTTATTCAGAAGCCTATTTATATCTGCAATGTATTTCAAGTCTTATTCACTATGTAATTCTACCCCATTAGAAAATGCATCAATGTAATACATTGCCCTTAGTTTCAAAATGTTTCTTTATCTTTCAGGAACATTTTCTATAGACATTTCAACCAGAAAAGTTGACGGAAAAAAAATTCAAGCATTCTATAGGTTTCTATATCTTTGATTCTTATTTATTTTAAATATTAGGAAAAAAAATTCAAGCATTCTATAGGTTTCTATATCTTTGATTCTTATTTATTTTAAATATTAGATCAAAATTTTGGACATGCTGTGGACATTTTATTTTCTGCTTTGTTACTCAATATTCTTTATTGATATTTATATCTTCAAGAAAATCCCAAGTACTGGGGTTACAGGCATCATCTAAATGAATACGAAACCTAGAGAGATAGGGAAGTGGACAGATAGTAGGAGCTATGATAATTTCACCTTGAAGACACTTGGCACTTGCAGTTTTGGAGATGGAATTCCAATGGCATAGTCAATTAAAACCATGCACAGAATTGTAAGAAAGACAGCAAAGTCACTCACTATCGATCGAACCTGGAAATAATGAAAACACTTGTCACTTGAAGAAGTTGTAAACAGTGATGAATGCTCAGGAACATATATCTAGGGTCACACTTTATAAACACTTTTTGACATGATATCATAATATTATATTTTATGCATACTATAACATTAGCATTAGCTCTGTCAGAACCTGAATAGATATTTCTAAGTCTAAGCTGTTAAGATTGATTCAGTCAACCTTTCCAAAATTAAGCATTACAGAATAGTTACAACGGAGACTGTGCTGTTGTTTTTATTTAAAAAATCTAAATATACTATGAGCTGAAGCATGTGAACTTTGGAACACAGAATGAGATGTACAACAATGGGAATCAGAAGACCATCACATAGTTAATATTTTACAATGATAAGCCAAAAGAACCATAAAATAAAATGATCTGTTTGCATTAGAGAAGCATAATGCTTTAACTAGTTTATCTGGGATATCCGCATGGCAGCGGATATGCACAGCAGAGTGGGCAAATTCAAAAGTATAAAATTCAAAAGTATAAAATTCTCTTTCTTTGAGCAAATATCTTTACACAATTTTCAACAAGATCTGGTTTCTATTAGGATGCTTTTGTGACACATACACAAAATGCTAACAATTTGTGTTCCAATTTACTAAGAAAAATACAAGAATTTTGTATTCATCAAATTAAGCCTTCAGCCAAAAGACATAAATCTTCCAACTTTGAGAAGGAGGGAGAAAACAGAAACCCTCTGTGGTAGAAACAGCTCTTGAAACATTTTCCCAAAGTGAAATTTTTATTATAATCCTAAAGAGTTTGTTTCCTTGTTTCCTTTCTTCTCCCCTCCCCTAAATACAACATTATAGGTGTTAACTTTGCAGTGCTAAATATTGAACTAAGCTGCTTTTTCTGTTTACTATCCTTTCCAAATATGAAGATGTAAAAGAGATGGGTTAGGGGGAGGGACTGACACTTTTAAAAGCAGAAAAGAGAATAGTGTTCCAATGAGTCTTTCAGGGGCTTTCCCAATTAGAGAATATAACAGCGGTTCCTATGAGGTATCTGGCAACCTGCACTAGTTCCCAATCACACTGCTCACTGGGCAAGAAAGCGGCAATAAGGAACAGTGTGTGCAGTCGGTTTCCGAAAACATAAGTGTGAAACTAGGAGTTTACCCTGGGGATTTGTAGTTAGGAGAAAAGCAAGGAGCGCCCCAGTGAAGCTTAGAGCCTGTGCACGGTACACTTATATCACTAACTGCTTTCTTGTCCCTCCCTCACTTCACTATCACCCCAACCCAAAAGATTTGGTTGTTGTTGTTGTTGTTGTTAAATGCCGCTGAGTCGGTTCCAACCCATAGCGACACTTACAGGGTTTCTGAGGAGCAGTTGGTGGGTTTGAACCACCAGCCTAGAGGTTCAAACTGACCTTGCAGTCTAGCATTTGTTGTTGTTGTTGTTGTTATGCATTAGTGGCTCCTTTGATTACATCAAGGAGCTCTGCTGGTGCAATGAGTTAAGCATACATTGGACTGCTAACCACAGATCAGTGGTTCAAACCTTCCAGACATTCTGCTGTAGAAACATGAGGTTGGCTGCTCCTGTCAAGATCTTAGAGACCCCATGGTGCAGTTCTACTCTATCCTACAGGGGTCAGGGATCGACTCCACAGCAGTGGGTTTAGTTGGGTTTTATCTGATCAATTGTTTTTCCTTTTATCATAAAACATATATGGCTCCAAAGCATGCTTTGGGCTCTTTTGCAGTTTTACCAGGAAAATTATAGTCTAAGTACCTTTGTAGGAAAATACCGGCTGGTCTTGAACTGCTTCAGAGTGGCTGACATAGTAACTGTGGAAAAGAATAGGATCACTGACCAAAATAGAACATCTGGAACATAGGGGTGTTCATGACCACAAGCTCGTCCAACATACTCTCCATGCAATGATTTGCATTCCTTCCAGGGGAAGTAAAAAAAAAAAAAAAAAAAAGGATTAAAAACAAAACAACTGAACACATTTCTCTAAGAAAATGAGCATTTTAAGATTAATTGCAATTAAGATAATGAGGCTTTCCTTCATCTATGTCGTTCACAATGATTTAAAAGAAATTACATTTTGCTTTACAAAGTCTATTTGGATTGGTAGTGAGAAAGGCAAAGATGTATATTAAATAAAATTTATACATAACTCACCTTTTCAATTTGTTTTCTTTTTGAAATTAAATTTAAAGCATAAAATAAAGTCATCTGCCCATCAATAAATATTTAGCCTAATACTTCTAAGCTTCTAAGACTAGGTTTATTGAAAATAGGATATATTTGATAATGAGAGATTACTAAGCCTAGATACTTGGCTTAGACCTTTAAATGCATTATTTCAATTAACCTTTGTTTTAATTGTATAACAAACATGTTGTTAAGTACTATCGAGTAAGTTCTGACTCATAGCAACTCCATATAGGGTTTTGGATAAGCGGCTGGTGAGTTTGAACCACCAACCTATGGTTCAAACCGACCTTATGGTTGAGTGCTTATTGTAGAGCATGACACCAGGCCTCCAATTGTATAACACTGTAGTTATTGTTCAGGGCTATCGAGCCATTTCTGACATATAATGACCCTATGTATAGGGTTTCCAAGGAGCAGCTGATGGGTTCGAACTGCTAACCTTGTGGTTCACAGTCCAGGGCTGATCCTACAGTGCTATACCACGAGTCCACTGTATTGTGGATGTTATTATTTTTATTTCAAGCCTGAGGAAAAGAAGAATCAGGTTGAATAATTTGTGATGGTTTCACTCATGCTGCGAAGCTGGGAGTCAGGAGGTAGCATTGGGCCTGTGGGTAGGAATATCCTTGAATGTTAAAGAATGATTTTGTAGAATTACCGAGTCCAAAAGCAACTAAAAAAGATGAAAAAGACAAGAAAACTAGTATATATAATTATGGAAATAAAGTTGTGAATCAAAGATTAAGAACTAATGAGAAAAAGTTGCAAGTGAGCAAAGCATAGCTTACATCTATTATGACTTTCCTGTGGCCTTTTTTATTTTTTGTTTTTCTGGTACTGTATGTATTTCTATAAGCCCCTGAGGAGCTCTGGTATGGCTACACAGGATAAGCACTGGATTGTCAGTCATAAGGTTGGCAGTTCAAACCCACCAGCTGCTCTTTGGAAACCCTATACAGGATCACTATGAGGCCAAACATGCTTGATGGCACTTAACAACGAAAGTTCCTGAAAGAGCAGTTCTAATTACTGCCTTAGCCATAAGGTGGCAGCAAAGTCAAATTTTTTTCCAAGAAAACCAGAGCATTTTAAATATTAAATATTTTGAAAGAAAAAACAAACAAAAAAAAAAACTCTTTAAAACTCATTTTTATTTCTGTTATTTTATTTTTCAAAAAAAAACTAGATTCATAAAAACCTTAACTTTTATTTTAAAAAAAATCAAAATGGTGGCTTAAATGATCCAGTTACCTCTGTGGCCTTGAATAGAAATTGAAATGGACCCTGGGGCAGAGAGATCTTAGAGGCCACCTAATAAATCAAGACTCAAGGCCTGGACTCTATGAAGAACAGAAAATAAGTAGTTTAAAAAATTCTACAGTAAATCTAAAATAACTACATTATCATCAGAAAACAAACGAACAATTAATTAGCTGATATCCTAAGCCTAGGATTCCTGGGAAATAATCTTGTACACCTTATAAGTGTCTAAAAGAATTCTGACCCCTTTTGCAATCTAACTTCTGGCTAAAATTTAGTTCCAATTGTCCTTGCTTAGTTAATATAGAACTAAAGTTTAATAGTTAACACAATAACTTAGTAAAAAAAAAAAAGAAAGAAAAGAAAAAAGAGCCACCTTAGAAAAATTCCCCAGATCTTAATTATCACTTTAATTTCCTTTCTCTCAAACCTCTGTAAAAACAAAGATGCAAAAATTATTCCTTCAAATTTTTCAGTTTCTTCTTCACCCTGTCCAGAGATGCTACTTGAGCAACTACACTGTAATAAGTATACAGAATAGGTAAATATAAACAGGAGCTAAAAGTCCATGGACCAGGCAGTGTTTTGTTCTGCTGTGCATAGGGTCGCTATGAGTTGGTACGGACTTGATGGTACCTAACAACAACAACAAAATTCCATGATAAACATTTTGCCTACAGATTTGTGACCATCTTTTGTGCAGCTATACAAGTTATATCCAGGCTTGGCTAGATCTTGCTCTCAATTCTAAAAATACAGATATTATTTGGCTCTGTAGAATAAGGACTAGACTACAAACCACAAGGTCTATGGTTTGAACCCACCAGCCTCTCTGGAGAAGGATGAGGTTTTCTGCTCCTGAAAAGATTTATAGCCTCAAGGTGGCATGTAGAGTCAAAGCAGTTGCAAGCTCTAGGCCCATGGACTGAGAAAGGCTATATGCCTTCCGGCAGGAGACTGGACATTTAAATGAATATTTATTTTTTGTTCTGCAAGTGTGAATGAAATACATTTGCCTTGCTTGTTTGTGAAATGTAAATGCAGAGGAAGGGAGGAAGTAGGATAATTGTTGCAGGGAGGGGATTGTAATTTAAAAAAAGGAGAAGAAGAAAAGATTTATAGCTTTTTAATGTTATACAGGGTTGCTACAAGTCAGACAGATTCAATGGCATTTAACAACAACAAAGGTCAGGCCACCTTAGTTCTGAAAGTGACAATCCAGCTCAACAATACTTCAAAGTCTTTTGCAACAGAATTGTCCAATGCAATATGTCATTTGATTTCTTGACTGCTTCTTCCATGAGCATTGATTGTGGAAGCAAAATGAAGTCCTTGACAACTTCAATCTTATCTCTGCTGAACATGATGCCAGTTTGTGGTCCAGGTGTGAGGATTTCTCATATTCTTTATATTGAGGTATAATCCATCAGGAGTGATGTGGCGCTGTAGGATCAGCACTGGACTGTGAACCATGAAGTAAACAGTTCAAATTCACCAGCTGCTCCTCGGAACCCATATACAGGGTTGCTATCAGTCAGACTCGATTTGATATAAACCATACTGAAGGCTGCAGTCTTTGATATTCATCAGCAAATATTTCAAGTCTTCTTCCCTTACAGCAAACAAGCTGTTGGTATCTGCATATGACAGGATGCTCATGAATCTTTCCCCAATCCTCTGATAGCATAGTGGTTACAAATCGGGCTGCTAACCTCAGGGTCATCAGTTCAAAACTACCAGCTGTTCCACAGGAGAAAGATGAGGCTTTCTGCTGCCATAAAGATTTACAGCCTCGGAAACCCTGTACAGGGTCACTATGAGTCGGAACCGACTCCACGGCACATAACAACAACAACAACAATGCCATGTTCTTATTATAATTTAGCTTTTCCGGTTATTTGATCAGCAAACAGATTGTATACAGTATGGTGAGAGGACACAACTCTGACACATGGCTTTTCTTGATTTTAAACCATTCAGTATCCTCTTGTTCAGTTCTAATGACTGCCTCTTGGTCTATGTATATGTTCCTCATGAACACAATTAAGTATTCAGGAATTCCTACTCTTCTTAATGCTTTTCATAATTTGCTGTGCCTCACAGTCAGATGCCTTTCTATAGTCAATAAAACACAAGTAAACATTTTTCTGGTATTCTTGGCTTTTAGCCAAGATCCAGGTGACATTAGCAATGATGTCCCTCATTCTATACCCTCTTCTGAATCTGACTTAAATTTCTGGCTTCTCCTTGACAATGTACTGCTGCTGTTTTAAATTATCTTCAGCAAAATTTGACTTGAATATGATTTAATAATGTTGTTCAATGATTTCTGTATTCTGTTGCATCACCTTGCTTTGGAATTGGATCGCTTCCAATCTGTTGGCCACGAAGCTGTCTTACAAATTCTTTGGCATAGATGAATGAGCACCTCCACAGCTGTATCAGTTTGTTGAAAGATTTTGACTTGTATTCCATAAATCCTGAAGCCTTAATTTTTACCAATACCTTCAGTGCCACTCGTATTTCTTCCTTCAATTCGTGATCATATGCTGTCTCTTAAAATGGTTAAACACCGATCAATTATTTTTTTATAGTGACTCTAAGCATTCCTTCATTCTTTTTATGCTTTCCTTGTTACTGAATATTTTGCCTACAGAATCCTTCAATATTGCAACCAGAGTCTTTAATTTTTCCTTCAGTTCTTTCAGCTTGAGAAATGCTGAGTGTGTTCTTCTCTTTTGGTTTTCTAACTCCAGGCCTTTGCACATTTCATTATAACACTTTACTTTGTCTTCTCGAGCTGCCCTTTGATATTTTTTGTTCACCTCTTTTACTTCATTACTTCTTCGAGTAACTTTAGCTTGTCTACATTCAAGAACAAGTCTATTCTGACATTCATTCTGGTCTTTTTTTTCTATAATGACCTTTAACTTTCTTCATATGTGATGTTCTTGATGTCATACCACAACTCTTCTGGTCATTAATGTCTAATGCAACAAATCGGATCTTGAGATGGTTTCTAAATTCAGGCGGGATATACTCAAGGTCATATTTTGACTCTTATGGATTTGCGTTAATTTTCTTCAGCTTCAGCCTGAACTTGCATTGAGCAATGGACATTCTTTCCACAATCAGTCCCTGGACTTGTTTTTGACTGATGAGATCGAGTTTCTCCATAGTATTCTTCCACAAATGTAGTCAATTTGATTCCTGTGTATTCCATCTGATAAAGTCCATTTGTTTATGTTGTTGAAAAAAGGTATTTGCAAAGAATTTGTCACTGTTGGTGTTAAGTGCTGTGGAGTCAGTTCAGACTCAGAGCAACCCTATATAGGGTTTCCAAGACTAAATCTTTGCCAGTCCAGAAAACTTCATCTTTCTTTCTAGAAGCAGCTGGTAGACTCAAACCATCAACCTTGTGGTTCACAGTCCAGTGCTTATCATGTCTTACAAAGTTCTACCATGCAATATCGAGCATCATTTCCATCACCAGACTTATTAGTTGCATAGAGACTGGTGGACCCTCAGAGACTGTGGTCCTTAGTCACCCTTCAGGTCTGGAACTGAACTCACTCCCAGAATTTATTTTTCAGACAAACAGTAGACCCATCTACAAGAGGTACAATAACACTAGGAAGGTATACACTACTTAGAATAATAAACCATTTGAGATCACAAGGACAGCATTTTCCCAGTAACAAAATCCAGAAGGTAGCAAAGGTTAGGAAAGAAGGCCAGATGAAAATGGAAGACACAGGAAAAGGGAGATAAGTGATGCTACCCTTTGGGGATTGCAATCAATGATATGCAAGTAAATGTGTATTAATTGCTGAATGGAAAAGTGACGTACTCTGCAATGCTTCACCCAATTCATAATAATAAGTTAAAAACAAAACAAAACAAAGCAAAATACATTAGCTGACAAACTGTTTTCTAGTAAATATTATTTCTATGGGGTCTAAGTTTTAATAATCTTCTAAACGAGTGCCTTCAGATAGGAGGATTCCTTGTGGAGTAGGATGCCTCCAGGCACTTAACTGTGGGAAGTAGGTTTGCTGATGCATGGAGCTAGAGCTGAGCACCTTTGGGATGAGTTTATAGTGGTGTAAAGTGCCCTTTGGTCATGTATCAGCAGATCTAAGAGCTTTGGAACATTGCCTGAGCAGAGTAAAGGCCAAGGGGCCCATAGCTGAGAATCCATGGACCATAGCAAGGCCTGTCCGCAGACATGTCTGGAAAAAGGCTATCCTGACCTAAAAGCTGTCTTCAGCATTTCTGATCTTTAATTGTAACCTGCTAACTTCTCTAGTAAACTCCATAATCAACAGCATGCTCTTTGAGTTCTGTGTGGACGTTGTAAGGAATTACTGAACCCAGTAGTGATGCAGTAATGCTGTAGGAGTGACTGATGGTATAAGAATTGGTAAGAAGGTTGGAGGGTAGAGGCATATCTAAATTCCTTACTATAAGATTCAGCCTTAGGCCAATGTTGAGTTTGATTCTCCTCCTCTTTGTGAAACCTGAGGAGGTCATGGCATCATCCATGCCATCCTTATACCATATTTCATCTCTTATTACAATTCTTCCAAGAAATCCTTCAGAATATTGATCCCACTTGTATGAAATTTCCATTGAAAGATGTACTCTTGTCTGCAGCTTATCTGGGCACAAGAGTTTGGTACTCATTTGTTGGGAGCAATTTGAACTGAAGGTCTCAGACCTGGGGGTAGTTTAACCAAAGGCTTGCAACTGAACAGTTGTGGTCCAGAAAATCGGGCTGTTCCCAGGTCAACTAGCCCCACTGAGGAACTTGGAGGGCTGCCTCGGGGGGACAAGGAACTTGTAAGGTATTTTCCTTGTATGACCTTCAGTTTAAGTTTGCAAAAACATCTAGCTGCCCTATCTCTGTTTCCCTAGCAACTACATTCTTTTGATAAAGTCCCACTTACTGCATGCATCAATAACACCAGAGGTTATTCTTTCCGCCACCCCCCCCCCCACACACACACACACACCCCCGCCCCAACACCTTCCCTTAAGCTGTGTATATCATAATCTCGCTGCCTTGGTCTGTGCTGCAGTATCTCCATCAGAGTGCTACGTCCCACCTGGTCCTAACTTTACTTATTTCAATTGTGTCTTGTGTCTTTCTTTTATTTCTAATCTCCCGTTACCCCTACTCAGGTTTAATCTCTCCGTGCGGGTCGCAGAGTATAGCTGATCATCAGACATGGCAGTTGGCCCCAGCACCCACTGAATGGAAAGTTTGCTCAACTTTAATTTTTCAGTCAGCATTGTGTAAGCTGAACTGAAATGTTGAAAGTGTTGGGTGTTAAGTACTGTTTTTGCTGTTAATCATTGATCCTATTCAATTAGGGCATGAACACGATGGACTGTGTCCTCACAAACTGATAAAGCTTTGAGCTTTATCTTCAGCACCATTTCTTCCCATTTAAAAATGAGTTAACAATTTGTAAAGTACTGATTTCTCTGGAACATTGTCCCCATAAATGTTTCATAAAGCATCAATGAGTTCTCCATTTTTCCATCCAAACTTCACCCTAAATTTAATGTTTGTTCTTGCTTTAATTTTAACAGAATTAATGTTGCTTTGATGGGGGCACTTTTCAAATAAAATAAAACTTATTCTTTTTAGTTCCTCAATCTAGATCCTTATGGAGTCTCGGTGTGGCACTGTGGGTTAATGTGCCAGAATGCAAAGCTGTTTGAACTGCAAGGTGGGCGGTTCAAGTTTACCAGCTGCTCCTTGGAAACCCTATCAGAGTCACTATGGGTTGGACTAGACTCCACAGCAATTAACAACAACAATGACAAGTTAGTATGAGCAGTTATTTGGATTTAAAAAAAATTGAAATCTATGCATAGTTTTTCATGATATGCATTTCCATGAATTTATTGAAAGTCCCTTGTATTTAAAATAGAAATCTAATTATCTTAGCTTGCCATAAAAGATTTGCATTAAATTGTAAAATTTTGAGGTTCTACTAAGGCTGCGAACCTTAAGGTCAGCAGTTTGAAACTACCAGCTGCTCCGCGGGAGAAAGATGAGGCTTTCTACTCCCGTAAAGATTTACACCCTCAGAAACCCTGTACAGGGTCGCTATGGGTCGAACCAACTCGACGGCACTTAACAACAACAACAACTACTTTTAAAGCAATCACTAAACATTATTGTATACTTACTATGCATACATCAGGTTGGGAAATGAAGAGAGCTAAAGTTCTTTATTTTAACCTTGCTAAATTAATAAGGTAAATATAAAATATAGGACCGTCAAAGCAAACAATACATAAAATGCATGTCTTATGGTTATTTTTGATGAAACTAATTTTAATAACTATCAGCACAGTACTTTCTTTAAAAATGTTTGGTAATGCTCATAAGTATATTCTGAGTAAATTTCAGTAAAACAATTAAGATAAAAATTTTTAGTGATTTTCACTGATATGCTATTATAAGAATTATATTTCGAGTTTTATGATATCTGTGCAAATATATGTTCCACTAGCTGGTCTATTTACTAAAAATATAAAATATATGTTCCACTAGCTGGTCTATTTACTAAAAATATATCATGTGAGTGTTTGATAAAATTAACTAGAATTCATATAGTCTTATACTGGTAGTTATATAGGAACAAGTAGGTAAATTTGCAGAAGTTTTTAATTATAATGTTTTCAACTGGAAGAAGAAGAAAAGAAACTAGAAAAATTCATATTTTAATATTGAATCTAGATTTAGACTTTCAAATTAAATATTTAGACTTTAAAATTTAGTATTTCATTGAAGAGAAAAACATTATGCTCATAGAAATGTATACACGCATTAAAATAGATTAAGGAGATTTGAGAAATATTTTCATGAGAAAAACAAATATCACAAAGCAGAGAAAAGTCAAAGAAAATTAAACAAAGGTACAAGATTTAACTGTGATAAATGAAATATATATTGCCATTCCATTTCCTGATTGGAAGATAAGAAGTAAATTGAAGCAAGAAAGTCCTTGGTAAAAGAGGTACCAGAATTTTATAAAGAAAAGTGGCTTTTGTTCCTCCCAAAGACTCTAGTATTCACAATAAAATATTAACAAATATCCCCTCCTCCCAGCATATTCTGAACAGCTGGAGCAGCATTAGAGAGTAAGTAAAAGCGTTATGGGTTCGTTACACAGAAGGCAGACTTAATTCTGCCATATGGTTTCATGTAGGTCAACACCACTCTTTTTAAATGTGCTTTCTGTGAATCTCAGTCATATTATTTCATATATATATTGAAAATCCAGCTCTGCTAACCATTAGAAAGATTTTAAACTTAATAATAAACAGAAACTCCAGTTTATGGATAAATAGCTGAAACTGCTAATATTATAATTATTATAAAATTCTACCACTTTTGTAACAATATGTATTCAAAATATTATCTTAGTGGTGACAATTAATTCAAAATGTCAGGAAAAACCCTTAAAGTATTAAGAATCAATATATGACTTATTTTCCAATGCTTCACTTACCGACACAGTTAAATTTTCCCAAATTATGTCAGATGCAGATATATTAGAGTTTCTCCAGTCCTTCAATGTATCATTACTGGGATTATGGGGTTCCACACAGTTACACCTGAAATACAAAATAGCATCTTTTGTGATCTAAGTAGCTTTTTGTTACTGTGCTTCAAACAAACGAGTAATGGGCTCTTCTTTCCCAGTTGGCACTTATCTCCATTTGAATGACTACTAGTTAGGCCAGCCTACACTACTCCTGCTTACTGAAAGTAAAGAGGACTTAAAATACTTACTGATGAAGATCAAAGACCACAATGTAAAGAAGACAAAAAGTCTTCACCACTGGACCAATAAACAACATCCATATAAATGAAGAAAAGATTGAAGTTGTTAAAGATTTCATTTGCTTGGATCAACCATCAACACTCATGGAAGCAGAAGTCAAGAAATTAAATGGCGTATTGCATTAGGTAAATCTGCTGTACAAGACCTCTTTAAAGTGTTCAAGAGCAAAAATGTCAGTTTGAGGACTAAGTTGCGCCTAACCCATGCCATTGTATTTTTCATAACTTCATATGCAAGTGAAAGTTGGACAGTGAATAAGGAAGACCATAGAAGAATTGATGCATTTGAGTTACGGTGTTGGGGTGTTGGAGGAGAATATTAAAAGTACCATGGAGTGCCAAAAAAAAAGCCCAATCTGTGTTGGAAGAGGTAGAGCCAGAATGCTCCTTAGAAGCCAGGGTGGCCAGACTTCATTTCTCATACCTTGTCCATATTGTCAGGATGGACCAGTCCCTGGAGAAGGAAATCGTGTTTGGTAAAGCAGAGGGTCAGCAAAAAAGAGGAAGACTCTCAACAAGGTGGATTGGCAAAATGGCAGCAACAATGGGCTCAGATATAACAACAACTGTGAGGTTGGCGCAAGACCAGGCAGTATTTCTTTCTGTTGTGTATAGTCCCACTATGAGTCAGTACTGACTCGATGACATTTAACAAAAACAACAACAAACTATTCTTGTTTTTGTAGCTGTTAAGAGCCATCAAGTTTTTTATGACTCATCAGGATTCTATATAGGGCTTTCAAGGAGTGTCTGGTGAGTTTGAACAGCTATCCTTGCAGTTCAAACTGACCTTATGGTTGAGTGTTTATCCTATAGATCCACACCAGAACTTCAAACTACTCTTGGACATGCTATTTACAGAAAACAGGATGAATATATTTCTAGGCTCCTATATCACAGTAGAATGAAGTCATTCCCTATAGATTCCAGTCAAAGAAATTATTGAAAAATGTAGGTTAGTACACTAGTCTTTTGTGACCTTTTAAATCTAAATGACATCTAGATCTTATAACTACTATTTCCCCATAAAGTATAAGTGAAAAAATTACAAACACCCAAATGTATTATTATATTTACTTATTTTAATTCATATAGTACAGCCATATCACTTATTTAACTTGAAATAGTTAATTTACAGTCTAAAGATAATTTACAACCTTGCTATATAGACAGAGCCATGGATGGCATGGTGCTTCAGGATAAGCACTGGACTGGTAACCACAATGTTGGCAGTTCAAACCCACCAGCCACTCTCAGAAATCCTACAGAGGGTCACACTGAACTGACTCAATAGCACACAACAACAATATAATTTAAAAATTGAAGTTAGGTTGAAACAAGAATTTTAGGCATCTTGGGATATACTATTGTTTTTCTCATTAAAAATAAAAAATGCTCACTTCTGGGTGGGGGCAGAAGCAGAATGAAGAAAGAGTTCGACGCAGTGGTATTATTTTGTAATAGAAAACAAACTCTCTGATATTATATAACTTTCTAATTAATTGTGGAGAAGATGACATAAACAAAGATAGCCAACAAATTAATGGTCTGAGTAGCTAGCTTCAATTTATGAATGATTTACTTTCTGAAAGTTCATTCATAGACTTTCTACTTGCCATTCAAAAATTATTTTCTGTCAAAAACGTTTTTAAAATGGTGGTTGGCCTCCCAGACTAACCCAAACACACTGCATAACTGAAGCTAAATTAGGCTCCTGTTCTTGTGAGATTAGTCCAACTGTAGAACATAAATGACGTTTCTAATATTATTTTTATAGGGCAATTTCTTTCCATTTGTGCTTGATAAATACCTCTCTCTATTTTCTACATCAAAAACTTAGTCTATTTCTTTTTTCCACCACTCACTCATTTTCCAAAGAATTTAAAAAATATCTATTTTTATAAGAAATCTACTAGGCTTGGACAACATGGACAAGTATGATTATTACTAATGTTTTAGGAAGATAAGAAGATTCACGCTCTGGGATCACTTAGGGCTGGGCCTCTAAAAGGGTAGAAGATTCAAATGTGAAATATAGTAACCAGGGTTTTAAGAGAATGAGATATGAAAGCAGTAGTTCTTACAGGCAGATACAGTGAACTCATCATAGCAGAAGGAGAAGCTCCAACAACAGGAAAACAAAGACATCAGAGATGGAGAGGTAGACATTCATTAATAAAGGTTGTTCAAAGTTATAGGTTCTTAAATCTCAGATTGATTATACATGATCATAGGACACAGAGACAAGCAGCTGTTTTGTACTGCCTCTAAAACTGCCTGTCGGTAAATTATTTGACCATACTAAATCTTGGTTTCCTCATATGTAAAATAGGGATAAAAATATTCACCTAGTAGAACTACTGTAAAGAATGAATTATGTTAATGTGGATTGGATTGGAGGAAGACTCATGAACAACCTGCAATATGCAAATGACACAACCTTGCTTGCTGAAGACACAAAAAGGACTTAAAGCACATATTGATGAAGATCTAAGACTACAGCCTTCAGTATGGATTACATATCAATTTAAAAGAACTCAAAAATCCTCAAAAGTAGACCAATTAGCAACATGACAAAAAATGGAAAAAATATTGAAGCTGTCAAGAATTTCATTTTATTTGGATTCACAATCAAAATCCCTGGAAGCAGTAGTCATAAAATCAAGCAGCACACATTGCATTGGGCAAATATGCTGCACAACATATATTTAAAGTGTTAAAAAGAAAAAGAAGGATAAAACAAACAAACACTTTAAAGACCAAGGCGCACCTGACCCAAGTCATGGAAGAAGGAATTGATGTCCTTGAATAATGTTGACTATACCACACACTGCCAGAAGAATGAACAAATCCCTCTTGGAGTAAGTATAGCTAGAATGCTCCTTAAAAGTGAGAATGGTAAGACTTTACCTCACATAATTTGGACATATTATCAGGAGGGACCAGTCCCTGGCAAAGGACATCATGCTAGGTAAAGTTGAGGGTAAGCAATAAAGAAGACCCTCAATAAGATGGATTCACACAGTGGCTATAACAAAGGGGTCCAACATAGCAACAACTGTGAGAATGTGAAGGATTGGGCAGCATTTTGTTCTGCTGTGCATAGGGTTGCTATGAACCTGGACCAACTTGAGGGAACTTAATAAAAATAAAAACAAATTATGCAAAATGAGCCTTGGTATTGCAATTACTAAGCACTCAGCTACTAACAGAAAGACTGGTGGATTGAACTGAACAACTGCTTTGTGGGAAAAAGATGTGGCAGTCAGCTTTAATAAAAACTGTTTTAGTTCTCTCCATATGCAAAAGAAAGAAGAGTAAGGAGAAATGATAATGCTTGGAACCAGTTAGTCCAATGGACTAACGGAACAGTTGAAATGAACATCAGTCTCCATGGCTCTGAGACCAGAACTAGATGGTGACCAGTTACCACGACCAATTGGTCTGAAAGGAATCACATTTGAAGGTCCCAGATAGAGTGACACATCATGTGGAACAAAACTCAAAATTATTTTTTTTAAAAAAGAAGATGAAAAAGACCGGTATTACTGGTCAGAAAGAGATTGGATGAACTTGACACTATTACCCTCAAACACTTCCTTCTGGTCTGGAAAGGAACTCGCCCTCTAGACCCGACTTTCAGCCAAGCAGTAGAAGGGTATATAAGAGGAACAACAACACCAGTAAGGTTACATCACTATGAAAAATGTTAACAGTCAATTATTCAAAATCAAAAGGGCAACACGTCCTAAGGACAAAGTTGAGAAGGGATTGGAAATAGGAACCACAGGGAGGAAACAGGATAACTGCTAGGAAACAGGATAACTGCTGCTCCATAGAAGCCAAGTGTTTTATTTGTTGGATATAAAATTGATATTCTTGTCTGTGAACCTTCATTCAATTCACAATAAAAAGTTAAAAAAAAAAATTATAGTCTTAGAAACCCCATGGAATAGTTTCAGTCTGTCTTACGTGGTTGCTATGAATCAGAATTGACTTAATGGCAATGGATTTGTTTGGGTTATAGTATGTAAAGAATTATGTATATAATTCAACATATATAAAATATAATTATATCTTATAGAAATCCTGGTATGGCACTGTGGGTTAATCACTGGACTGCAAGGTCAGTTTGAACAGTAATGTTGGTGGTTCAAGCTCACCAGTCATCCCTTGGAAATTCCATACAGGGTTGCTATGAGTTGGAACTGACTCAATAGCACATAACAACAACAAAAAGCATAAGAATTTATTATATACCATGTAAAAAAGAATACTTTATAGAATAAAACATCATTAATATATGAAAGTAAAATTTCATTGAAAGTAATTTAAAAACATTTCAACAATATATCGATAGGGAACTGCTAGAAATTCAAGCCAGATTCAGAAGAGTACATGGAATTAGACATATCATTGTTGATATAAGATAGACTTGACTGAAAGCAGAGAAAACCAGAATATGTTTACTTATGCTTTAATGACTATGCTAATGTTTTCAGCTGTGTGGACCATGACAAACTATGGATAACATTGCAAAGAAGGGGTATTCAAGAGCACTTCTTTGAACTCAAGAGTAACCTGTACAAAGACCCGGAGGCAGTAGTTAGAAAGGAACAAGGGGATGCTGAGTGGCTTAATAGAAGGAAAGGTGTGCATCAGGGTTGTATCTTTCACCATATTTATTCAATCTGTATATTGAGCAAATAATCAAAGAAGTGGATTATATAAAGAATAGCACGGCATCAGAATTAGAAGAAGAGTCATTGAC